ACAAGCGGAAAACCATTCTAGGGAGTATCTAATTATTCGACTCTTCTGAACAAATGATGGAACTGCACTGAATATTGGCATACTTTTACACACCAAAATAGTTAAATTTGCATCCGTTTTTCGAATCGATTAGTGTGTACATCCAATCCTGCACATTTTTTTACTCGTTATAATTTTCCGATCATGTATTTATGTCTGATTGTCGCTACGAACAATAATGCGATTAACCGTTCGGTTTTTACCTTAGTTTACTTTTTTTGTTGTAGTTTGTTCTCATTCACATTATCACTATTGTCTCTAAAGAAAACTTATCTGTATATTAGCTTTTCGCCTCATATATTCGTTGGAACTCATTAATGCTTTTCCACTTGTATAGACATGTTCATATGGTTCATTCTTATTTATTTCGGAAAAATATTGAAAACGGACAAAACCGAGACTATAAGCGGAAGATATGGAGATGAGACTAAGGAACGTCCTTTTACCGTGAATGTTTATTATCAATATTTCTTTTGTCGACATTTGTAAACTTTTCATTTCAAATATATCGATTTTCGTTAGTTTTCTGCTTTGATGCTATTGGCACATGTCAAATCACTTTTGATGAGGTATAATAAAAGAAAAAATCTTCCTATTTTTGCTCATTTTGCATATTGTATTATTATCTTGATTGATTACACTTCTATCTCAAGCCCATTTTTAAAATCAAACGGCCGATTAAAGCTAGGTAAATTTTGTCATACCAAGAATGATGTATTTTTCTTTCAGAAAAGGGTCAGCGAATCCAAAGGATGAGCGTTACTTGTTTTAATTTGGGCTAGGAAAACCTAGAATAGATTAACTTGCACCGTGATTTCATCGACCAAGAGGAAAAAACTAGATGATGCTTATGATATCCATATTCACAAGCACCTGAATTCGAATCGAGCAAGAAAATAGCTATGATGATGGCTCTACTAGTGATCACCAACACTAAAATGCTTTGATATTATACTATTGAAGGAATTCAGATGAGAAGTAGCAATGGAAAATAACTTAGTCATTTACCGAAATCGAGCATAGAATAATGGGAGATTTAAGAAATAGATCAAGTAAACAAAAATCAACGACGGGTCAGTTCTAGGTTTCCCAGACCCAAAGTAGGATCCTTAGCAGCTAGTACTCGACTATAGTTCAGGATATAGATTCATAGAATACAGTATTGTAGGATCAAAATATTTGATAGTAAAGTTTAGAGTACAATTTGCTTTCGTATTTGTACACTAATAGGAAGAGTAGTGTCTTTTTCTATAAGCACCGATAGTAGTGAACTTTGTACGACTACGAATCAGCAAACATAGACACTTATCTTCGTATAGATTTCTGCTTATAACTCAGGTAACATATTCACTAATCATACAGGAATATATAATCAGGCTAGAAACGACAAGAAAGGTTATGGTAACAATTTGAATCCATATATTCAAAAGCTCCTCTTTATGTCTCCATGCTCTTTCCAGCTCAGCTACCCATACTTTTGATTCCTATGGAGTACAACGAAAAGCCATAAACCAATGAAAAAGATTCTTGCCGCTTTTCATGATAATAGTAGTCGCAAAGAGCTTTTCTTCTTCGGAAAGAGTCCTAAAATTTCATACCTTAACCCTTTCGGGACGGGTATCTGTTGAATAAAACTAAACCTTTCAGTGACTCTATTACTCTATATTAGAAGCTGAGTTTTTAGGGTTTAATTTGACAACCATCCTAGGAGCTTTTTGTCCTTTGAAATATTTCTGAACTTGTTTCGACGGCTTCTGTTAACTTTTCGCTAAGTGATATTCACAAGAAACCAATTTCGTGAAATATGCTCGGTGGTATATATATCATCTCCGTGCCCAAAGGATTAAAGTTGCTAAACAATTATTATAGTCCTTCTCGTACAGGAATATTCTGGAGAACTATCCATTTTCACAAAAAAACTATTCGTAGAAGCATGTGAAAGAGTGACTATCTATTTACAGAAAAGTGTTGGAAAAATTACTTACAGAACCTTTCTTCACACGATATTTTCCCGCAAAAGTCGATAAAAATTTCTTTGATAAATATCTGTTCGAAAACCGACACAAAAGATTTTTACTAATCAAAGACAAATTTCTCTCTACTACAGTAGTCCTTCATGAGAAACCTTTTCAGCAACATTCTTCGTTAAAAAAAGCTCATTTTTACAAAATCTATGAGCAAAAATCTTTTAACAGGGGCTTTGAACTGGTTTTCTCTTTGAAAAAACGTTTTCTACACTCAACAGCCATAGCTTCAGATTCCCCGACCTCGATTACCATTCGGTAAAACTTTCCTGTGTAAATCACTTTTTAACTATTAACTATTAATAATTAGTTAATAATCAATTAAAGCTAACATCAGATTCAGCTTCTCCGACCTCGATTACCCTTCGGTCAAACTTTCACCTGCGAACGAGCAATACTAAGTTTTTTGTAAAATCAAGTAACAGACTTACCTCACTCTCTGCAAATGCTCTGCTTCGAGGAAAAGAAAAAATTCTGATCCACATTACTCGCACATTGAACAAATACACAAAATTATTGGTGTAGAGAAAATACCATGTTCTTGTTTTGTCCATTTCATTGGCTGTATTGAATGAGCCAACGGTTGATGTTGCCATATTTTACTACGATGCATGGTCACGTAATTAGCATTTTTCTTAACGATGCTTGACTCAAAATTGGAAAATGAGAGATGGAACCGATAGAGCTCGTCGAGATCTACTTGGAAACCATGTGTTCTTAGTTGGAAATCTCTTTATCGCGAATCGCAGTTGAAAAAACTTGAATCTTATACTAAGATATCCTACGTCTTTTTTCCCTCATCTCTTATGAGGTCACATGTGTTAATCAGTTGTATCTTATATATTATATTCACATTCTCATACGCAGCAGGTTCTTTTTCTATTTCATCTCTCCTATTTTTGTAAAAAATAGATATTCTTCTTTTAATTAGTAAGCGAATCGTTTTTGAGAGATCTACCCTTGAAAAGATATTTCTCGCGTTCGTTTAATTGACGGGCACAACCAACGGAATCTTTATAATTGAAATAATCAGCTATAATTAAATTACCGACATGTAGATTCATATTGAATGGTAATAAACGACTGTGGCAACGAAAAACTGCAGTTTTGTATGTGAAACATAAGTTTTCAAATATATCGACTGTAAAAGTAGAATGAACGAACATACGTATCGGTAGACCTTCATTCTCACAAATTATCTGTTCATGAAAAACAAAATGGTTGATTCTACTATCAATGCTAGTCTACCACGGTTTCTTACTCGTGCTATCACCTTCTCACCCGTTCATTTTCGGTCACTCATTCAACCAAGAACTCGATCAAGCGGAAGTTTTGATCTCTCACCAATTCTTCTTAACGAATAAGAACAAAATATAGAGGAAAATATCGTTCTGACAAAGTAAATTCTTTTTGTGTGTTTATCTTCTCAAAACAAAAGTCTCCTCTAATAATTTATACTCATAATGAGAGATTATTCACATGAATTGATTGTATCTAATTTTTCTTTCACATTCACAACAGTTATTGGTCCTTTGAATAAGAAATCATTTTTTGCGTATTTTTAAAATATTGATGTTTATATCTGGCTATTCATTTTTTCTAACAATCAATGATGGTTATGGTTCTCATTAGATTAGTAATAGACTGATCAATTACTCAAGTTAATGGAGAAAAATGAGCATGATTTCTTACTAGCACATTGGCTTCGTTAAAGAAAGAAGAGTGAAAAATATTTTTCTCCAATACACGACGCATATGAGTGACAGAAAAAAAAAGTTATTGATGCATGACCGTTATCTAACCCATGTATTTTCGTTCGAATTATTTAACAGATAAACACGAATATGTGATTTATTTGTAACACACACCGTATACTTTCATATTGACATTTTTTTCTCATTTTCCACGTGTAATTGTATTTCTATCTTTGCTTTCTATCCAGCGAGTAGGAAAAAAAACCATCAACTTATACTTGAAAGAAAAGTTACTCTTAACGATCTATGGCTTCTATTGATAATAATACAGAAGGAATGGAGTTTTCAACCTCTCGTCAGAGCGTTTCTATTCAACAAAAGAATAATCAAACAAGGAACAATGGTAGAACTGCTGAACGAAGATTATTTAAGCCTGAATGGCGTTTGTAAGTCATTTTTTATTTCATTTTTCGAGTCATCTATTGAGATTGAAATATGAAAAAGATGTTGTATTAAACTTTTTCTCCTACGGAAAATGTTTTCATTTTTAATCAAGAATTAAGTTCATATTTAAGAATTTTCAGTATGTCGAGATAATTGTATTGCGCTTCTTAGGAAATGTGGTTCTTTATCAATATCTGGTCTTACGGTTGTTGTCGCAATGTTCTTTATATATCTATGTGTGCTTATGATTATCGGTATTGTGATCGTTTGTTTGACTGCACCGAAACCAAAGGGTATGTACTCATAAACGAATTCACCATGCTATTCAACATTTTATTTTCAATTAATTGTGTTCGATTTGAAAATTTTTCTTTTGTATTATTTAGTCAAAAAGTGTGAATTAAAATTTTTCTCAACATCCCCAAAGCCCATCGAATATAATTATGGTCCAAAGTCTGTTGCCGTAGGTTATTTTGATAATGATACTTGGCTAGATATGGTTGTTGCCGACTTTCTTGTGAATAAAATATCGATATATTCGGGAAATAGCAATGGAATTTTTACGAAACAAAACGAATATTCTACTGGTCCGTATTCTCGTCCGAATATGGTGGCTGTTGCTGATTTGAACAATGATTTTCGATTCGATATTGCAGTGGCAAATTTTGGTACTAATAATATTGCTATATATCTTGGATTTGGTAACGGATCTTTCTTCAGTCATTCACAAATTTCTACTGGAAGATCACGTCCTATTTGGATTAGCTTAATTGATTTCGACAATAATACATTAGTGGATACTGTTACTATTGGTTATGGAACTCATAGTATAGGAATATTTTATGCATATTCACATGGATTATTTTCTAGTCCAATAACGTACTGGACGGGCTATGATTCTTTTCCAACATCGCTGGCTTTTGGCGACGTTAATAACGATCATTATCTAGATATTGTTATTGCCAATTCTGGTACAGACAATATTCTCATACTTATCGGCAATGGCAATGGTACTCTTACACAGCACATCATTCTATCTACAAATGTAGATTCACATCCACGATCAGTAGCCGTTGGTCATTTCAACAGTGATAACTACTTAGATATTGCAGTTGCGAATTATGGAACTGACACTATTGGCATCTTTATCAATAATGCAAACGGAACTTTTACAAAGCAGATTTTCTATCATCTCAAACAAGCTTCTCCTTACTCGATAGGTGTCGGTGATTTTAATCAAGATAATCGAATGGATTTACTTAGTACTAATAAAGGTTCGAATAATGTTGGTGTACTTCTTGGATATGGAAATGGTAGTTTTCAAAATCCACAAATGAAATCAACTGGATCAGCTTCTTCCATCGTATTCACAATATGTGATATCAACAATGATCATCGACTAGATGCTATTCTGATTAACAATGATACTGAAAGTATAAGTACTCTAATTGGTTGTTTTGAAGGCTTTTCTGATCGTCTGTCCTTTAAAGTTGGTGCTTCTCCTAATCATATCACTGTTGCGGATTTGAATGGTGACCAACGATTGGATATAGTCGTTGCTAATTTTGACGATCAGTCTATCAGTGTTCTTCTTGGATACGGCAATGGATCTTTTACAAATCAAATGAAATATTTAACTGATTTATCTCCACAATCCTTAGATATTGCTGATTTGAACGATGATACTCGATTGGATATCGTTGTCGCCAATATTGATAGTAGCACTATTGGTGTTTTTTTTGGATATGGTAACGGATCTTTTACCAATGAAACAACTTATTTAACTGACGATTTTCCACGTTCTGTAACCATCAGTGACTTAAATCATGACACTTATCCAGATATTGTTTTTATTAATTCTGGTAACGATACTATAGGTATTCTTCTGGGATATGGCAATGGTTCTTTTGCGAACCAAATTACACATTCAACTGGGCCTAATCCACAATCTTTAGCAATTGGCGACTTAAATAACGACACTCATCTAGATATTGCTGTTGTTAATTTTGAAAGTAACAATCTCCTAATCCTTTTTGGATATGGTAACGGTTCGTTTACAAATGAAACAATTTATTCTGCTGGTACAGGACCATTCTTTGTTCGTATTGATGATTTGAATAATGACACACAGTTAGATATCGTCGTCGCCAATATTGACAGTAATACTGTCAGTATTTTTCTTGGATATGGCAATGGCTCATTTACCAATCAATCCATTTACGGAAGTGGAAGTAATCCAAGATTTTTCGCTATTGGCGATATAAACAATGATACTAAAAAGGATATTATTATTGCTTGTGACAATTTAGAAATGATAAGTGTTATTTTCGGACATGGTAATGGGTCTTTTCAAATTCCAATGTTCTGGACCACATATGCTCGTTCATACTCTCTGGCTATTGCTGATTTTAACAATGATACTCGACTAGACATTATTGTGCTCGACAATAAGTACAATTCTGTGGATGTATTACTTCAATTGAATCGTGGAGCTTTGAAAAATAGTATGACTTATGCCTCTGGTGGGGCTTCGAAACTTAGTTCCATTGATCTTGGTGACATGAACAATGACAGTCGATTAGATATCGTTGTTGCTAACTCTGGTACAGATGATATAGGTATCCTCTATGGATATGGTGATGGTCATTTTACAAAACAAACGATGATTTATATGGGCTCTAATTCTCAACCTTCATCCATCGTCATCAGTGATTTTAATGGTGATTCTCAGCTAGATATTGCAGTGGCTAGTTATGGAAATAAAATTGTTCAGATGTTACTTGGATACAACAATGGATCATTTATCAATCAAATAGATTATGGAATATATTTACCTTCTTCACCATCTCTTATCGTTCCTGGTGATTTCAATAATGATGGACGATCAGAAGTTGTAGTTGCATACGATAAAAATGATTATATTGATATTCTTATTTCATACAATACAGGATCTTTTATAAATCCTCAGTCATATCCAGTTGATAAACGTCCATACGCTATAGCTGTCGCTTATTTGAACAATGATACTCATTTAGACATCGTTGTTGTAAACTCCGGTAGTGATAGCTTGAATATTCTTCTTGGATATGGCAATGGTTTATTTACCTTGCAAATGACATATTCAACTGGTTCTTCTCCAGAATTTTTATCTGTTAGTGATTTAAATAATGACACTTATATAGATATTGTTGTGGTTAATTATGATGAGAACAGTATATCCATCTTTCTTGGATATGGTAACGGTTCGTTTGCAAATCAAAGCATCTATCAAACCGGTTTATCTCCACGTACTGTATCTATTGGTGACTTCAATCATGACACTCTTCCTGATATTGTGGTTGCGAATTACTATAATAATAGTATCAGTATCTATTTTGGATATGGTGATGGCTTATTTACAGATCGAATCGAATATTCCACAAGTTCTTCTCCAAGATCTGCATCTGTTGGCGATTTCAACCACGATACTCATCTGGATATTGTTTTTGTCAATTATCGAAGTAATACTGTGGGCATCCTTTTCGGATATGGTAATGGATCATTTTCAGCTGAAAAGACGTATTTGACGGATTTCAAACCAAGCTTTGTCACTGTCGCCGATCTTAATAACGACACTTATCTGGATATTGTTGTTCTTGCTTTCAATAATTTTACAATGAATATCCTTCTCGGACAGGGCAATGGTACTTTTGGAAACTATGTTGAGTATGACACTGGTGATCTTCCACAAACGGCAACTATTGCTGATCTAAATAACGACAATCACTTGGATATTGTAGTTGTCAACTCTGCTAGTAGTGATATAAGTGTCTTCTTAGGATATGGAGACGGTTCTTTTACAGATCAAAAGATGTATTCGATTGGAATTGATCCACACGACGTAGCTGTGGGTAATTTTAATAACGATTCTCAACTTGATATGGTTATTGCGAACTCAGGTGAAGATAATGTCATCATATTCTTTGGTTCATTGAATGAAATATTCCTGCAGCAAACGAGAGTTGTAACTGATAATAGTTCTCGACCACGATCAATTGTTGTTGATGACTTTAATAATGATCACCAAATGGATCTTTGTGTCGCTTATTCCGACAGTAATAAAATTGGTATTTTTCTTGGACTAGGTAATATTTCCTTCCAGAATCCAATAACACATTCGACTGGTTGGAATTCATCCCCATATTCTGTGGCAGCTGGCGATTTTAATAATGATACTAAATTAGATCTTGTTGTCGCTAATTATGCTTCTCACAATATTGGCATTTTTCTAGGGTATGGCGACGGTTTTTTTTGCAAATCAAGTCATCCTTTCAACTGGTCCCTCTTCATTTCCATCTGTTGTGTCTACTGGTTATTTCAATGATGATGATCAACTAGACATTATTATTGCTAATTATGGCAACAATAAAATAGAAATATTTCTTGGTCTCGGTAATGCGACATTCGAAAGTAGTCTCGTATTTCCTCTGGAATATAGATCTCAACCATTCTTTCTCCGAACTGGTGATTTCAATACTGATAAGAAGTTGGATTTCGCCGTGGTTAATAATGGTTCTGACAGTATAAGTGTTTTGTTACAGACATGCTGATTATAATTCTGAACAGTGAGGGTATTTGTCACACGTAGAATAACGAATGTCATTACTGTTTGATGTGTATCATTCCTCACTCTCACGCTCGAATTATTTTATTGAATTAAGAAACAAGGGTGAGGGTGTGATGATGGGTGTGGGTGAGTTTACATCTTCTTCTATATATATATAAAGAAGAAAGTTTGTCTGTCTGTCTGTTTGTTTGTTCGTTATGCATTCAGTCCCTGTAGTAGCTATCGGCGTGAAATTTTCCACAATACTTCCTGAGACCCAGAGGAAGGTCGACATCTATTTTGTTCCGAGAACAAATGAACCAGACGTTTGGTACAGGCAATCTATGAAACTGACCAATAGGATTGCAGGATTTTAGAAGTGGACGAAATTAATAGCGAAGGCGGCCGGAAGCCGTCTGAGCGCTCATAGACAACAATCCGCGTGTTCTCTACGCCTATGATAGTTCGGTGAATGCTACAGATAACCTGCGAAATTCACCAATAGCGTTACAGGATCTCAAAAGATTAAGACAAATGCTGAGGGTGGGTGAATTCGAAGGATATAAGGTATGAAATGACGTGAGAGTGAGAAAGGGTTCGATCAATCACTAGCTGGAGTGGAAAATGAATATGAGAGAAAGAGGAAATTTTTATAATTTCTGAGGCAGAAATTAGCTTCGGCAACTCTTTTGCATGAAAAGATATAGCCGAAACTGCCATTTTATGCGATGCACGGCGGGAAAATAAGGACTGGAAGCGTAGAAATTTGAATTATACTGATTTTCTACGTGTTATAGCTCTTCAAAACGTGAGATGTTCGACATGGATATCTTTTATTTGCAGCGGATACTCCATCTAGTTTTATATATAAGGGATTTCAAAATAATATTATTTTAACCGATAATCAATGAAAATACTAATTTGGATATTATTGCATATAAAACGAAAAAATCGAATAATATAAGCATAATATTAGGAGATGGAGCTAGAAATCTCAAAAGAAAAAATATCCGTACAAGCAATAATAAGGAATTCTATAGATTTAGAGTTTGTGGTGTTGGTAATTTCAATGATGTTAGTTACAAAGGCGTTGACTTTTATTCATTCGAACACATGAATCACTGTTGGTAAATGTGTCTTTTCTTTTAAAAAATGTTTTGTCGCAACGAAAATCATCGATATTTTTTCCCTGAAACGGTAAGATAAATATTCCTAAAATGATGAAAAAGAAAGGCAAGACGAAATGAACTCAACATAAATATAATAATGTATTATGCTAAAATAATGTTATTTTAACAATATTTAAATTTCAGATCATAATCGTTAGAACAATGCCTTCTGCCATAGCCAGTAGAAATATGATTATATGTTTAATAATTGTTCGTGGAAAATATGTGTATCTCTTGAGATAATATTCATTATAATACATACAACTAACTTCATTTACGTGACTAGAAACATTTTGAAGATCAGCAGCAACTTGTTCTTGTTCACTTGCTAAAGCACTTGTTTCTGTTACGTACGTATGAATAGGTATTTTAACATGTTCATTGCATCCTTGCATATGTCTTTTATAAATCATACGATTATGAATTAAATTACCATTTCGTTTAAAGATGATAATATTATATATAGAGAGAATAATATCTGTGAGACATATCACTAAATTTAAGGCAACAAATGGTTTCCATTTTGAGCTATCTTCAAAAATAGGTTTCAGCATTGAGCTAATTCCACCAGCAGCGAGAGCAATAAGAAGTAAAAGAATTGTCACGGATCGATACATCAAAAAATGACCACCACGCATATATTTTTTTTTGAGGAATATTATCAGCAGCAGTACTATTGAATTGTCTCACAGCAAAATTATAGCGTGCTGGATATGTATTTCGAATTGTAGTTGATACTCCAGTATCGACTTCGGGACCTGTATTCACTTGAACTCTTGTTGAGCCCATGTAAGCATTTCCTTGATCGTCGTATACTACAACAGTTATTTTTAAGCGCTAGTT